ATGACCAGGGAACAGTTCCTCATTCATCTTCTTGTACCATTAAGTCCTACAGTGGTCAATTGAACTACTCAATCGGTTTCTTGGTACCATCATATAATCAAACTTTACATCCTTTTTTATGCCAAAATAACATGTCAATAGAAAATTAGGTTTAAATATAAAATTAAGGTGAATTCAAACATTACAATAAACTCGATGGCAATGCTCCATGAGTAAAGGTATTCAGTTTGCAGTCATTGGCAGTCAACTCCCAGACTCATTGAAGACCTGCTTTCCATTCCTGCTTGCTTTGAAAAGCATATGGCATGTTTGGTGTTATATGCTTACCCTGCTTTGTCATTCTTATTTTTCATTCACAATTGTCATTACATGGTTTTCATACTAGTCCCCTTTTTAGTTGCTTCACCACCCTCTTTTCCTACCACATAGTTATTATTCCTTTTTCCCTCTAAGACAAGTGATGGGGAATGATTTTCTGCCTATATTTCTATCTTACTGGCTGATGAATAAATCACTGATTGACCAGGCAGGACTAGGAGACAAGGAAGATTCTGGGAAGTGTAGGCAGACAGGAGTCGTCATGTGATCCCAGGAAGTATCTGCCATGAGCTAACCATAGATATCTGGAGGTCTGTGTAGACAGGCAGGAAGTGATATAGCTGGGCAGAATCAGAATATAAACAGGGACAAACAGGAAATCACTCTCCTCTCTTCTCTGTGGAGACATTTAGGAACAGTCACCATGTAAGACATGAGAAGACTAACAGGCCCAGACCCTTTCCCTGGTAAGATAAGACCACATGGAAATACTTAGATTTATAGAAATGCGTTAAACTCAAAACAATCAGTAGCCCTACTCTATATAGACAATAAATGTGCTGAGAAAGAAATCAGAGAAACATCACCTTTTTTTTCTTTTTTTTTAATTTTATTTTCCAGTTTAAATTTAGATAAGAAACAAGGTTGCTTCACAAGTCAGTTCCAGGTCCCTCTCCCATTCCCTCCCTTCCTCCCGTGCCCTCCCCCCCCCGTTATCCCCTCATTTCTCCAGGGAGGGTGAGGCCCTCCATGGGGGTGTGCATAGTGTGTCATTTCATATAGGGCAGGGCCTAGACCCTTCCCCAATAGTTCAGGGTGAGAGTGCACCCCACATTGTTCTATGGGAGTCCAAAGTCTGTGTGTATACTTGGGATGGGTACTGATCTGCTGCCCAATGCTCAATAGATTCCCTAGGCCTCTTCACTGACACCCTTTTACAATAGCCACAAACAACATAAAATACCTTGGGGTAACTCTAACCAAACAGGTGAAAGATATGTATGACAAGAAATTTGAGTCACTAAAAAAAAGAAATTAAAGAAGATACCAGAAAATGAAAGATCTCCCATGCTCTTGGATAGGTAGGATCAAGATAGTAAAAATGGCAAACTTAACAAAATCAATCTACACATTCAATGCAATCCCTATCAAAATCCCAGTACAATTCTTCACAAACCTTGAAAGGACAATTCTCAACTTTATATGGAAAAATAAAAGACCCAGTATAGCCAAAAACAAACAACAACAACAACAACAACAACAACAAAAAACAACCCTGTACAATAAAAGGACTTCAGGAGGCATCAGGCATCAAAATCCCTGACTTCAAGCTGTAATATAGAACTATAGTAAGGAAAACATCTTGGCATTGGCACAAAAACAGACATGTAGACCAATGGAATGGAATTGAAGACCCTGATATTAACCCACACACTTGTGAACACTTGATCTTTGACAAAGAACCTAAAACTATACAATGGAAAGAAGAAAGCATCTTCAAAAATGGTGCTGGCATAACTGTATGCTGGCATGTAAAAGACAGCAGATAGATCCATATCTATCACCATGCACAAAACGTAAGTCCAAATGGATCAAAGACCTCAACATCAATCCAGCCAACTGAACCTCTTAGAAAGGAAAGTGAGAGGTACCCTTGAACGAATTGGTACAGAAGACTGCGTCCTGAACATAACACCAGTAACACAAACACTGAGATCAACAATTAATACGTGGGACCTCCTGAAACTGAGAAGCTTCTGCAAGGCAAAGGACACAGTCAACAAGACAAATTACAGCCCACAGAATGGGAAAAGATATTCACCAACTCCACATCTGACAGAGGGCTGATCACGAAAATTTACAAAGAACTCAATAAGCAAGTCTCCAAACACCAAAGGATCCAATTAAAATTGGAGTACAGAACTAAATAGAGAATTTTCAATAGTGGAATCTAAAATGGCTGACAGACACTTGAGAAAGTGCTCAACATCTTTAGCAATCAGGGAAATGCAAATTAAAAAAAAACCCTCAAAGATTCCATCTTACTACTCTCAGAATGGCTAAAATCAAAAACACTAATGACAGTTTATGCTGGAGAGGATGTGGAGAAAGGAGAACACTCTTTCACTACTGGTGGTAGTGCCAACTTGTACAGTCATGTTGGAAATCAGCAGGGAGATTCCTCAAGGAAATGGGAATCAGTTTACCACAAGACCCAGCACTTCCACTCTTAGGCATATACCCAAAAGATGCACATTCATACAACAAGGAAATCTGTTCAGCTATGTTCATAGCAGCATTATTTGTAATAGCCAGAGCATGGAAGTAACCAAAACGTCCCTCAACTGAAGAGTGGATAGAGAAAATGTGGTACATTTATACAGTTGAGTACTATTCAGCAGAAAAAAAAGCAATGGAATCTTGAAAATCGCAGGCAAATGGATGGAACTAGAAGAAACCATCCTGAGTGAGGTAACACAGTCACAAAAAGAGAAACATGGTATGTGCTCACTCATATATGGATTTTAGACATGGATAAGGGGATTGCCAGGCTACAATCCCACAACTAGAGAGTCTGGGAAACAGGGAGGATCCTAAGAGAGATATGCATGGTACCCTGGAGAAAGGGAATGGTACAGGATCTCCTGAGGGGAATGGGAGATGGGGGAAGGGGAGAGAAAGCTGGGGGAAAGAGAGAGGGAAGAGAGGGAGAAGAGGAGGGGAGAGGAGGACATGGGGGAGCAACAAGGTTGAGTCAGGGGAAGAAAATAGGAGAGCAGAATGAGAGATTCCATAATAGAGGGACCATTATAGGTTTGAATAGAGATATGGCACTAGTGAGAATTCCAAAGATCTACAAGGATGGCACCAACTGACAATCTAGTTAATAGTGGAGAGGCTCCCTTAAATGTCCTTCTCTGATAATGAAATTGATGACAGCCTTATGTACCATCCTAGAGCCTTCACTCAGTAACTGATGGAAGCAGAGGCAGACACCCACATCCAAACACTTAACTGAACTCCTGGAACCCAGTTGCAGAAAGGGAGGAGTGATGAGCAAAGGCGCGTCAAGAAAGTGCTGCTGAAACCCACAGAAACAGCTGACATGAACAAGGGAGAGCTCATGGACCCCAGACTGATAGCTGAGAGGCTAGCATGGGACTGACACCCTGAATGTGGGTGTCAGTGAGGGGCCTCACCAATCTATGGGGCCTCAGAAAGTAGATCAATATTTATCCTTAGCACCCAGATGGATTTTGGGAGCACATTCTACATGGAGGGATGGTTTCTCAGCCTGGATATGTGGGGGAGGGCCTAATCCCTGTCCTAGATGATATGATAGACTTTGGAGATTCCCCATGGAGGGCCTCACCTTCCCAAGGGAGATGAGGGGGGATGGGGTAGGGGCTGGGGGAGGAGGGGAGGTAGAGGGATCTGGCATGTGATGCAAGCTTATTTCTAATTAAAATTTTTTAAGTAATTCTTAGCCAAAAGCCAACAGTTTCATAATTAATATAAGTCTTGTGTGTTCATTTGGAGTTGACGTGGTACTGGGACCAGGTTGACAGGAAGCTTGCACTACAGACTAGGCAGGTTTTACTACTGCCATCCTGTTCAGTCTGCCCTACCCTGATTATTCCATCTTGAAGTTCTCTTTGGCTGCCTCATGATTTAGGCATTCCAAAAAGACCTGGAAATTTCATTTGGTTTCCATTAATAATAGCTGAGAAGATTTTGGTTTTTACCCCATTGCATAGGTTCTAGGATGTTTGCATTTAATGTAGCTTGATTCCTACGTAACTCAGCAGAATGGAGTAGTTCCCAGCAGAATTTATTTCAGCCATCACTGACACAGATAGAAGAAATATTTGGGATGAAAATATTTATCACTAAGCCATAACCCCTGAGATGACAGCATTCCATGTATATGTATGTCCTTCATGAAAAGGAGCCAGTACTTAAGTTTTTACAAACATAAAATCAAAACTAAAACCTTTACTCTTTCTCAGTTTCATGTGTTTGTACAGATATACATCATCCTTAGGTTGGTCCTGTGGCTTCCTCATCTTCACCATGAGGGTGAGCACCTTGACTGGCTTCAGCCAGATCCTGCTAGCTTTAGCTGTTCATTTTCATTTATCTTGTATTTATTTATTCATTTGTCCCTTTAAATACGTATCTTTGTAAAGCCCACTTCAGTGTTTACCCATCCAGGGCTGCCCTCTTCTCAAAGATCTTAGAGTTACCTCTTTGAAATATAAGCAAAAATAAAGACAGTGCTGACGTCTCCCACCTTGCTTCAACTTATTAATTGTTATCCTCAATGAACATGTAGTAAAGTTTATTTTTCTTTGAGCGAGGCCAATATATATATATATATATATATATATATATATATATATATATATGGAAGTCAATCCTCCATTTCAACTCTTACCCACACTCCTGCTTTCCTTTTCAGCAGAGTTAAATTGCCAATGGAGTTTTGACCACTCCCACATAATGCAGTGGCCTTGAATAACGTGTTTCATGCATATTTAACTTGCGACCACATTTTGCGTTAGCAGGCTTCACATGGATCCATGTGAGCACCTATCCCCGTGTTGCATATGGATGTCCCAGGGTGCTCATGGACTAACTCTCTGACGGAAATAGAAAGAAGCAGAGAAAGAATATACTACCTTTGCTTTTCACATCAATGGCGGTTTCCTTCTCACTTTTCTTCTTGGTGTCTCCTTTTTCTACTGTAAAGTAAGAAAGTTACAAGCCTTTAACCAACTTATTCCTATATGTTTCAGAGGACACACGACTACCATCAAGGCACCAGTTCTCTTTGCAGAGAGAATTGTAAGTTCAAGCCATAAGACCTGTCATAAATGGGCTCCTTCTAAAGACACTCACAGCTTAGGTGTGTGGTCTTTCTGTGAAGGGAAACAAATCTTTAACAAAGTTAAAATCATTAAGTGAATTTTTAATTACTGTAGAATTCTAAATAGTTTTCTAAATTATATTAAAAGGAAAAGATTGAATGTGCCATGAGCTATCCAGTCATGAGAAAGTGTATTAGAAAATTTAAAATCTCTGAAAATCATTTGGTAATATCAGATAAACATTAGCTAGCAAGTCTAAAGAAAAGAGAAGAATGGTCTAGCAAACTATTACATGAATTCTTTCCACTATATTAAATAATTCTACCTCTTGATGGCTACTTTTAACAAAATTCAAATAACTAAAAATAATCTTCATTACACATAGGCACACAAAGAGACATATATATTCATATATAAATATATTTTTATATATACAATGAGCTGTCACTACAAAAACTAGAAGAAAAATACCACATCTTTAACAAATGTGTTTAGGACCCGGTGATGTGGGATAGCCTTGGAATTTCCGGTCTCTGAGGCAGAGGGGTCAAGAGTTCCAGACCAGACTGAGTTAAACAGAGAAATCTTACCTTTAAATGAATATGCAAATAAAGGTTTTTTTGTTTACACAGTGAATTGTACTTTCTTTTTCTTTTTTTATTTAAGTTAGAAATAAGCTTGTTTCACATGTCAATCCCAGCTCCCTTTCCCTCTGCTCCTCCCCTGGTTCCCCCCCCCCACCAGGTCTCTTAGTTCCCCACCCAATCTCCACTCCGATCCCCAGGGAGGGTGAGGCCCTCCATGGAGGATCTCCAGAGGCTGTCATTTTATCCAGGGCAGGGCCTAGGCCCTCTGCCAAGAGACCAGGCTAAGCAAGCATCCCTCATTGTGGGAAGGGCAGCCAATGTTCATTTGTATGCCAGGGATAAATACTACCCAAGGCCCCTTAGATTACCTAGGCCTCCTCAATGACTCTCACATTCAGGGGGTCTGGATCAGTCCCATGCTTTCCACCCAGCCATCAGTCTGGAGGTCCAAGAGCTCCTCCTTGTTCAGGTCAACTGTTTCTGTAGGTTAAACCAGCCCATTCTTAACCCCTTTGCCCATCAGTTCTCCCTTTCTGTCACTGGATTCCAGAAGTTCAGTTCAGTGTTTAGCTGTGCGTGTCTGCATCTGCTTCCATCAGTCACTGGAAGAAGGTTCTGTTTCCCAGACTCTCTGGAAGTGGGGTTGTAGTCTGGCACTCCCCTGATTCATGTCTAAAATCCATATATGAGTGAGTACATACCATGTTATTTTCCTCAATTCCAAGTTTTAAAAAATCCTGGGTGTTTTCAATAATCATGACAATCAAGCGACTCTCTTTCTTGGAAATCAATAGCTTTGCCAGCAACACACTAAATTACTACAGTTTTAGAAAGTCTTTCTATTCCTTACCTTTCTTTTTCATTTCAGAAGTAACTTTCTTCTCGGCTTTCTTTGTCTCCTCTTCTTTTTCTAGAGAAAAGATTGAAAACATCCTTATTACGGAAAGTCAATAATTAAGGACTCCAGGTGAAAACATTGGTGCTGAGCTGTTTCTGCCTCCAGGCACCTTGTGACTCCTCAACAAGCTTCAAGCTGATACCCCCATTAAAAAAAAAACACAAGAGGACACAAATTGGTCAAACTTTCACTGTTTGCAGATGATATGATAGTTTATATAAATGACCCAAAGAACTCTACCAGGGAACTCTTACAGCTGATTAACACCTTCAACAAAGTGGCAGACTACAAGATCAACTCAAGAAAATCAGAGCCCTACTATATACAGATGATAAAAGGGCTGAAAAAGAAATCAGAGAAACATCACCCTTTACAATTGCCAGAAACAACATAAAATACCTTTGGGTAACGCTAACCAACCAAGTGAAAGACCTGTATTGCAAGAACTTTGAATCTTTAAAGAAAGAAATTAAAGAAGCCCTCAGAAAATGGAAAGATCTCCCATGCTCTTGGATAGGTAGGATCAATGTAGTAAAAATGGCAATCCTGCCAAAAGCAATCTACAGATTCAATGCAATCCCCATTAAAATCCCAGCACAATTATTCACAGACCTTGCAAGAACAATAATCAATTGTTTATGGAAAAAACAAAAGACCCAGGATTGCCAAAACAACCCTGTTCAACAAGGCAATGTCCGGAGGCATCACCATCCCTGACCTCAAGCTCTATTATAGAGCTACAGTCCTGAAAATAGCTTGGTATTGGCATAAAAATAGACAGGTAGACCAATGGAATCGAATTGAAAACCCTGATATTAACCCACATGCATATGAACATCTGCTCTTTGACAAAGAAGCTAAAAATATACAATGGAATAAAAAGCATCTTCAACAAATGGTGCTGGCATAACTGGAGGCTGGCATATAGAAGAATGCGGATAGTTCCATGTCTATCGCCATGCACAAAATTTCAAGTCCAAATGGATCAAAGACCTCAACATAAATCCAGCCACACTGAACCTATTAGAAGAGAAAGTGGGTGGTACCCTTGAAAGAATTGGTACAGGAGACAGCTTCCTGAACATAACATCACTAGCACAGACAGTGAGATCAATAATTAATAAATGAGACCTCCTGAAACTGAAAAGCTTCTGTAAGGCAAAGGACACAGTCAGAAAGACAAAAAGGCAGTCCACAGAATGGGAAAAAATATTCACCAATCCCACATCTGACAGAGGGTTGATCTCCAAAATTTACAAAGAACTCAAGAAGCAAGTCTCCAAAACACCAAAGGATCCAATTAAAAAATGGGCTGCAGAACTAAATAGAGAATTTTCAATAGAGGAGTCTAAAATGGCTGAGAGGCACTTGAGAAAGTGCTCAACATCCTTAGCCATCCGGGAAATGCAAATCAAAACAACACTGAGATACCATCTCACTCCTGTCAGAATGGCTAAAATCAAAAACACCAATGACAATTTATGCTGGAGAGGATGTGGTGAAAGGGGAACACTCCTCCATTGCTGGTGGGAGTGCCAACTTCTTCAGCCACTTTGTAAATCAGTATGGAGATTCCTCAGAAAAATGGGAATCAACCTACCACAAGACCCAACAACTCCACTCTTAGGCATATATCCAAAAGATGCCCATTCATACAGCAAGGATGTCTGTTCCACTATGTTCATAGCAACATTACTTGTAATAGCCAGAATTTGGAAGCAACCTAGATGTCCCTCACCCGAAGAGTGGATAGAAAAAATGTGGTACATTTACACAATGGTGTACTATTCAGCAGAAAAAAAATGGAATCCTGAGATTTGCAGGCAAATGGATGACACTAGAAGAAACCACCCTGAGTGAGGTAACGCAGTCACAAAAAGAGAAACATGGCATGTACTCTCTCATATATGGATTTTAGACATAGATCTGGGGAGTGCCAGCCTACAATCCCATGGCCAGAGAGTCTGGGAAACAGAAACTTCATTCAGTGGCTGATGGAAGAAGAGGCACACTCCCACGGTTAAGTACTGAGCTGAACTCAAGAAAGCCTGTAACAGAGAAGGAGGACTGATGACCAAAGGGATTAAGACTGGGCTGGTTTAACCCCCAGAAACAGCTGACCTGACAAAGGTTAACTCTTGAATCCCAGGCATCAGCCTGGGAATCCAGCATGAGACTGATCAAGACCCTCTGAATGTGGGTGTCAGTGAGGAGGCCTAGGTAATCTATTGAGCCCTGGGCAGCAGATCAGTACTCATCCCGAGTATACACACGGACTTTGGACTCCCATCCAACAATGTGAGATGCACTCATACCCTTTACTCTTGGGGGAGGGTCTAGGCCCTGCCCTGTATGAAATGACAGACTATGGACACCCCCATGGAGGGCCTCACCCTCCCTGGGGAAATGAGGGGATATTGGGGGGTTGAGGGGAGGGCATGGAAGGAGGGGAGGGAAAGGAAGAGGGACCTGGAACTGACTTGTGAAGCAACCTTGTTTCTAATCTAAATTTAAACTGAAAAAATAAATAAAAATAATAACACTAACCCCTCAAAGCCAGACGGTGTCATCAGGCACCCCACACACTGTCATGCTTAGCTCTGTAAATTTCTTGTTCTCTTCACATACTGATTTTATTGAAAATAATGTTTCAGACAAGTGGTTCTCATCCTGTCTTGACCTTTTGGGGATAAATGACCCTTTCTTGAAACTTTGCTAAGAGCATCAAACCCCACAGATACTCATATTACAATTCATAAAAGTAGCAAGGTTACATTTATGAAGTAGCAACGAAAATAATTTTATGGTTCAGGAGTCACCACGTCATGAGAAATTGTATTAAAGGGCTGCAGCATTAGGAAGGTTGAGAACACTGTCAGGCCATTCTGAGTTTTTTTTTCCAGCTCTGGCTCTTGTCAACAGATATTTAGAGCTGATGACATTTGTGTGGCAGTGTGGCAGGGATGTTACCTTCACTGTCCTTTCTGAACAGTTGCATGAAGCAGAATGCTCGGCTACATCTGGGTTGTAGTAAGTCTGAATGCCATGCACAATTTTGCGTGGTTCCATTAAGTTTTGTGGAATATAACCGTTTCAGGTATCTGAAGATGCCTAGGTCTGACTGGGGCCAAGAAGGCATATCAAGGGTTGCCCACCTACAAGCTCAAACTTCCCTGGGCATGTCTCTGGTAAGTTTTTCATGTCAAATTCCAACACTAAGTGCCTGTATCCAGTTGCTGAAACAGAGTGTTCTGTGATTTTAGGCTTGGAGAATCTTTAACATTTTACCTTTAATTGGTCAAATTACTCATACTATATTTGAAATACCTTTATCTTTGCCATTTGTCTGTCATTTTTGGGAATGAAAGTATTCTAAGTTTTTTGTTTTGTTTGTTTTTAGACAGAACTATTATGGAATTTTTACCATGCTGAATGAGGATATCCAATGTACAATTCTAAGGAACACATCTCATTAAATACAGGAATTAATTCATCCCCTTAGGTATAGAGCTTTGTTACCTACAAGATCAAAGCTAAAACTTTGGTTTAGTGTTGGAAGCATATTTTATAGAGTCCCTTTTCACCACTCCCCGAGAGAATCCAGCATTATAAGGAGACATTCACACTTTGTCTAAATGTGTCTACAGAATACTTCCGCAGCTTGCTCATTCCAAAGGAGAAAGTTGAGAAGGTAAATTTTTATCATTCAAGAATTAGAGATACGGCAATTAAAATTCACTTGGCCTTCTCGACACGGTTTTGTCTTAAGCAAAGCATCTTAAAATTTTTGAATAAAGACATTTTAAAGTATTATTACATTCGGTTTCTTTTCTGGGAGAAATACGCAGCAGGACAGTTTCCATCTTGCTAAGATAATAAAAGTGCCAGGTAATCAAAAAAGTATTTACCAAATATCACCTTCTGATATCATGAGTTGGGAAAGGAGCTAACTAAATCTGAATACTTGCAAATATTTCTAAGAACATACTAATAATACCACAGTTACCTACAATCACAAGTCAGTACCTGAATCTATGTTTCCTACTGTGGAGGAATAAATATTTCATTAGAAAGTCTGCACCAATTAGTCAGTGGTGCACTGAACTTCACAGCAGTAAAAGAACGTACTTGAGGCTGTGAGTTGTAAGCTGTTCTTTTCAAGTTTTTAAAAGAGAATGTTCTTGGGCAATGAATCCCATGCTTTGAATTAATACAGTTGGGGTTTTATTATGGCAATACAGTATTCTTGCCTAAGTTCAGATTGAATTAATATTTCCATTATATACCTTGCCTGCAATTATAGCCATATACAGTGAGAATCACGAATAAGAGCTGAAATCCATAGAAAGGTAGATATAAATAATGTACTTTAATAATGTTTTTATGAATTCGGCCTTTAAGTTGTCATTATGGGACTTACTGTATTCGTGGGGAATTTCATCTAAAATGTCAGTTTCTAAAGATTCTACATTTCTCAAGCACTGTTGTCCGTGTTTCATAGATGATCAGAAGAAAAGAAATTACATTTTTCATTTATAAAAGACACAGGAATTTAATTATGTCTTACTTGGGCATAAAAATAATCCATGTTTTATTTATGAGTATGCTCCTTACTCGGACATTTTCTTCCTCAAAATTCAACAATTCTCTTCCCATGTGACAATGCATTCACACAGACATTTATCCTAACTTTGTCTTGCTGTTTTGTTTCCAACAGCTAGAGAAGGTTAGTAGTCTTTAATGATATCAGTTTTCAAATAGCAATTAAACGTGTGTGTAGGAGATGGAGTGGCAGCAAATTGTCTTTCTCTGACAAAATGGTCCTAAGCCTTGAAATGATGGTATGGGAAATCCTTGCTACAACTTGAAGCTCACAGTCAACAAAAATATTATTAACTTCTGCATAAGTTAACATCATATGAAAGAAAAATTAAGAGACTTAGTTTTCACTTCCTAACCCTTACAATACACGTTTCTCTTCCTTTTAGATGTTTGTATACCTTCCCGAAACCAGAAAACACACAACAGTTAATCATAGTTGCAATTTTTTCTAATACTCTAATTTCCATCAAAACTAAGAAATGAATGCAAAGAGTTTCAATTGTGTCTTATGTGTTATTCTTCCCCAAGTCTTTTAGCACAGAGATTATATGAACTCTACATGGAAGAGGAATGTTTTTCAATACTGCGGGACCAGGAGTGGTATATTTTTACTTCCAGTCAAATCGGGTCCCATTCCTTCCATGACACCCGGTTCCAACATTCCTTGTCACTGTCACCTTGTCTCTCTGAAGTGGCAGAGATTGGCTTGCAACCCAGTACATAGAATGACCATGGAAAATAGCATACAAGGAGATGAGCTAAATTGTATGAGTAGTTATCAGACTTTCCCATTGTTATCTCCATAGTGTAGGTTAAGAAAGAATGCACTGTGTCCTTGGTTTTAATTCTGTTCTTGACCTTTTCTAGTTGTACAATGTTGGGCATATATTCTTTAACAAACTAAATTTCAGGTAACTAACAAGCCATACCATGCTGTTTTGCTGTGCAGAATGGAAATAATTGAACTAAAATGTCTGGAATAAAGTAGCTATTAAAAATACAATGAACCCATTCCCTATGGAGGGATACTATTGCAGCCCAGATACGGAAAGAAGGGCCTGAACCCTCCCCAAAATGATGTGATGGACTTTGATGATCCCCCGTGGAGGGTCTCACTATCCCTGGGGAGTGAGTGGAGGGGTGGGTTGGGGGGTCAGTGCGTAGCATGGGAGGATAGGAGGGCAAGGGAATGGGGGGAAGGATATGTAAATAAGATTTTTTCTAAAAACAATAAAAATTGTCTTCAAAAATATAATGAAAATAATGATCAGCATTTGACAAATATTAAAAACATGAGTATATAATCTCTAGCATTTTTCTAGGTGTGATTTTTTTACTGATTTCTGTAAGTGCAAATTATCTATCTTTTTGCATCCAAGGAGTATGTGCCTAGAATAGGTGGAAGGCGGGGAGTACACACATAGAAACAAATCTGTTTACAACATAGTTGTGTTTCAGTGAAAAAGTTAAACTTTTGGCTGTCATTTGTTTGTGGTTTGTTAGCTAGCATTCACAGAAGTGGAGCTGAAATTTAGTATCTCAAAGCAGATGCTCAACATCACACAATGAGAAAAAGTCAAGAACAGAATCAGACCAAGGGCTCCCATGCTTTCTTATCCCACACCCTGTAGATAGCAATGTGGAAACTCTAATAATAGCTCATCGTAAACCCTCCATCTTCAACCATAAATTATAGGGAAATGACTGGTGTTTATTTAAATTTATCATTGCTTGATTTCTAACTTCTTATGAAATTCACATAATCTTTCACATATTAGCCAGTCTTACTGGGAACAGATTACTTTAAAAATCATTAGAGTTGCAAGTAGCCATTATATACTGTCTGTATTTCACAAGGGTTAAAGGAAGAGACGTGCTTAAGGTATATAATGTTCACCAGGCAGTAGTGGCTCATGCATTTAATTCCAGCACTTTGGAGGAAGAAGCAGGTGGATCTTTGTGAGTTCAAGGCCAGCCTGGCCTACAGAACGAGTTCCAGAACAGCTAGGGCTACTCACAGAGAAATCCTGTCTACAAAAATAGATATATGATGTTAGATGAAAAAAAGACACATGATATCCTACTTTGCTTTGATGATGCTGTGATAAAGGCCATGTCTAAAAACAAATTGGGAGAAGAAAGGATTTATTTGCCTTACAAGTAGCACTCCACCATTGAGGGAAGACAGGGAAGAAACACAAGGCAGGACCCTGGAGACAGGAACTTAAACAGGGACCACTGGGAAGCTGCTTCTTAGTCTGCTGCCAGATTCATTTTTCACCTATTTTATTTTTACACAACCCAGGGTTCACCTGCATAGGGATCATACCTCCTATATTATGTGGGGCTCTCCTACATCAGTCAGTAATCCAAAAAAAATGCCCTACAGACATGCTATAGGCCATTTGAATGAGTCAATACTTCAGTAGAGGGAGCCTCTTCCAACATATATCAACTTGACAAGTGAAATTAAATATTGCACTTTTTTGCAGTTTAGGAAATCTGAAAGTGTGACAATGCATTGTTTTCCTTAAGATTGATCATAGCTAAATCATTCTTAACTGTGATATTAAGAAAACTATAGAAAAAAAGCAGGACTGCTTGGGTTACTTTTGAAAGAAGAAGAAACATTCCTGCCAAGACTTTGAAACAGGAGCATGCTAGGTACATAAAAATCATGCTGGATTAGTGAACATAGGCAGAGTGCAAAACTCAGGGGCTTGGTCCTACTGTGGTCACCCATGTGGAATATTGTGACTTATGCTGAGAATTTTTCTTCTCATGGTAATATAGGGGACAATTAGGCTACATTAAGCAGATAAGTTCCGTGCTCCTAGGTGATGGTAAGGGGAGGACTTTGATCCTTGATCGTGGAAGATATCCCATTGGATTATGCAATGAGATGTTAAGGAAGAATTAGGGAAAAATCTGAGAACATGTTCTTTTGTTGTTGTTCACCATTGAATTTTCCTTTGATTTTTATCTGGTGATCTTCAAAGAAGAGAAACCATGACATAATGAGAGACATTACTTGCAATACAATTGTCACTATGACAGCAAGGGTCTTTAGATTGAGGACTTCACTTGAGTTATCTGCCATAACTAAACTGACCTTTTAGAACCCAAACCCATTTTCTTTGCCTTCAATTTTCTTTAGTAATGGATGAATTATCCATGAAAGCAGTGCCCATTATTGGCTATTAACAAATAGCTACCAGGCTGCAATTCCTGAACAGTTTCCAGTGGCTATTTAGAGACTTTTAGCTATGCAATTTAGTCACTGAAATTAATAAATGCTTGTTTAATCTTATGCTAATACAGATGCAAGGATCAGTAATAATTAGAAAGCATTCGCTCCTGATGTGAGAAGCAAAATTGGAAGAGAATGTTCACATTAAGGATTTTGAGAGACAAGGGCAGCGGTTCATCCCAGGAAGGATGAGTGAGGAAAACCAGAGAGACCTGAGGGAAACCCTCAGCCTGAGGCAAGATGCTGTGTGGAGCCTTGCTATGGCCTGTATATTTCAAGCATTACAGCTCACACAGCTGCAGTATTAAAGGTATGCAGTAATAGCTTGTATCTACA